AACAACAAAAGACAGGCCTGAGGGCTGCAGATTAAATGTCACCCACCTTCGGCTTGGTAGCATCGCCTTCTGTCCCCTGGGCCAGCTGATCTCCTTCTCTAAGTTGATGTTATTGTTGTTAAGTGCGGTTGATTCGCAGGCGACTCATAGCGACCCTATGAAGGAGACATAGTGGAGCAAATTCTTTCTCTTATTGTATGATACTTAGATAATGAAAAAAAAGCTGTATATAAAAAAAAAATTAGGCTTTGCAGGATCTTTAGAGAGAATGCTTAGGTTTTAAAATTTAATTTGCTACTGCCATTCTTGAAATTGAGTTGAGACTCAATTTTTCAAAGATAATTCTTTGAGAACTAATCCTACTTATCCCACTTAGCTGAGTACCTGGCACATAGTAGGTGCTCATTTACATTAAATTTAAACAACTGAATGAATATCTGCTTTTCCCCAACAGTTTTTATATTGTTTCTAAGTTATGTAAATTATAGTCACTCTACAAAACCCAGATTTGAACCTTGTGCTTTATTCTGAGCCATCTTCACAAATTTTTTAAAAATAAATTTTTATTTTATACTAGCTTGTTTTCTAACTCTTGATTTCTAATGTGTTACAGGCCACTGTTAGAGTTTCTGTGTCAAACCATCTTGTTGAGGTTCTTCCTACCTTTCTCTGACCTTCTATTTTCCCAGAATGTCTTTTGGCAAGAACTAGTACCTCCTGATAACATATCCAAAGTATGCGAGACCAAATTTCATTACCGGAGCCTCTAAGTAGCGTCCTTCTGCAAAACAGACTTGTTTGTTCTTTTGACAGTCCACGGGATATTTAATACTCTTCTGTACTACAGTACAGATCTTGAATTTAGGATCTGTAAAAGGGTTTCAGAATGTAGAATCTTCACTCTCTTGAAACTTACATGGGGAAAAAGAATTTCCACTACCTCTACCCTTTTCCCTTTATGTATAATTTCTGAATTACTTTCATGCTCTGCTTATGTACCTTTTCCTTAATACTGAATTTCAATTTTCATAGGAATTTGCTTTTTCTTAGGGTTAGTCTTACAAATTAATTATATATACTGAGTTTTCTTTGAAGAACCATTTAATTTCCATACTTAAAAGCACCATCGCGCGCAAGGGTGTGTGTGTGTGTGTGTGTGTGTGTGTGTGTGTAAATGTTTTAAGTTTCAGGGAGTGCTTCCTAAAAATAGTTTATTTAAAACTGTTTATTTTTTAAGAAGTTTATTTAGCTTCATTTCCAAGAATTTATATAGGGAGGCATGGAAAACTCCAATTTTCCATACTTAAAAACCCCTTAAACCAGTTGGTTTATCATTCTATTAATGCCATTTAAAAAAATTTTGTTCTGTTTAAGAATTATTTCCCACTGTACTAAAATTTTTGAATTAACATTCATTCAAAATACCTGAGGATCCGAGCCACAAATTTAGAGCAACAGAAGGCGGCTCTTCCGCTAACAATGACTTATACTAGCAGCTTCGATTTTATTTTAAAATAGAAACTATTTAAAACATAGGTTATGTTTGCGTTGGTCTTTGTTAATTTTTTTTCAAAGATTCAAATTGAAAATCCAAAGTTTAATGCTAACTACATAAATCTTAGTTCTGGTGGCATAGTCCATACGGTGGAATGATAGAATGGCACTTTTACCTATTCAAAGTATGAAGCAAGTCTGGATCCGTCAGGCACCTTATCCTTTGTGGTAGAATTTTTATTCCTGCAGGAAACAGTCATGAATTTCTTCAGAGAATCGGAGAAGAAAAACTTCACTTTTAAGGAGTTTCGGAGACTGTTTCTCCTCTTTAAGAGCTGGATCTTCAACCAAGGAAGACAACGTCAACTTCGTAGAGTATTAGCCAGAATGGCTCCTGCGTCTTTGGCGTGGTGAGAAAAAAACCAAAACAAATTAAAAAAAAAAACAAAAACAAAAACAAAAACACCAAAAAACAACCCAAAAACAAAAACAAAAACCACCTCCATTGACCTTCAAGGAGGTTGGGCCACTGAAAATGCCCGGATGTGAACGAGATTCCCCAAAAATGAAATAGGAAAGAAACCCAGCAACCATCTCATAAAACCAAAACCAGCAAAACAGAAGTACCTACTGTCTGGATAAAGTGAGTAAGGCTGATTGTAGTAGAAAGGGGCGCGATTTATTTTTTGAGTTTGATAAGATGTGGTGGGCAGCGGGAGTTAGGGCACTTGCGGAGAGAAGATATCTATCTCCTCCTCAGTAGAGGATTCGAACTGAGTATGCAGAGACAAGTGGGCCGCAGGCTGATGACCAGCGTTGTGGCTTCGACCCAAGGGGCCTCTCTGCAAGTCAGCCAGTAGAACTAGCCCCTAAGGCCTCCAAAAGGACCTAGAAGAGAACTCGCAGTGCAGGCTGGGGTGGGGGCGGGCCGACGTAGGCCGTCTGAGCGCTGATTGGCTGGTGGTTCTGGTCGCCTAGTGCTATTTGTTGTTGGAGCAGACGCTCCTGACGCAGTTGGCGTCCAGCACGTGCAGCCGTTTAAGCGGTGTGCGGTCGGTGCCGCGGAGAAAGCGGTGAAGAGCAAGTGGAGGAGAGGTGAGTACAGTGCTTCGTCTTCCGCTGGGCACTGTTTTCGGGGGCTCTGGGGTTCCCCTCTGGGGCGACTTTAGGCCAAAAGATAATAAGGTGGGTGAAGGAGGGTTTGTTCGAGGAGTCTCTGGAATCTTTTCGCCCCCTGTCCTAAAACCCGGGGGTGCCCGAAGCCTTGGCTTACGGGCCTGCGAAGGAGCCTTTCATCCGACTCCTACTTGGCTTTTCTCTGAAAGTGAAATGGCGATTGTGCTGTTGAGTCGGACTCATTGCTGATCCTCCAGCCTATTTTCTGAAACAGTTAATTAATCTCAGTTAATTGCCCCGTCTTTGCCCCTCTTAGCTGGTGGATTTGAAGCACGGGTTTTTGGGTTGGTAGCACAATCACCTACCACGAAACCCCAGACTTCCCTCTGAAGGTGGACAGTAATGTAATTTTTGTCGACGTTTTTCTCATCTCAACTGTTGTTGAGCCTACCCAGCCGTGGTCCCATCTCCCTAAACTCCCACGGCTTTGCTCTACCCGCGTTGACCCCCTTTCACCAAACTATTCTTCTGTTCCTTCCTCACTGCCTCATCTCCCCACCCCCCAAAAAGTCCTCCAACAGAACCAGTATCCTATTACATTTTATTGGAAGTATGTCAAGGAAAAAACCCTCGGTTATGATCTGGAAAAAACTACCCATTCTTAAATATAGAATAAGTCACTTGGGGACCCTTTGAGGATAAATCCTAGGAACAGATTTTTGGTAAAACCTAAAGGTTTGGGGAGAGATGTGTAATTGTGGGGACATGGATCTTAATTAATTGAGATTAAATGGTTTAATAAATTTTTTAAAGACAGGATGGCTATTAAGCCACCTGTACGTAAGTAGCAAGACTTTAAGGATATTTTTGTAGGAATATTGGGATGATCAGTGCTTTATTGAGTGGTTTCAGTAGTTTAATGTGAAATAATGAGAGTTTATACTTTTAAAAATAGATTCCTAATTAATTGAGGCCAAATGCTGTCTCTTTTTATTTTTAGAAAATTGAACTTGAAGCCATCATGGGAGATGAAGATTGGGAAGCTGAATCATCAATCCTCATATGTCTTTTTATGTTCCTGAGAAGGTAAAGAGTACATGTAAAGAGTACAGTTATTAAAAGCAGGAAAAATTAAAAATTACTCAGTTTGTGTCATTGATTCCGTGACTGGGGTAATCGGGATGGGTGTGTCAGAAGCAGTGTAATTGGCACAGGATAGAGCAGGGTTTTGAGCTGTTGTACAAAGGGTCGCTATGAGTTGCAAGTGACTCGATGGCACATAACAACAAAAACAGGAAATCAAAAGGCAAAGTGTGTTAGGTAAATATGCACTCAGGTACCTTTCCATAATACTGAGAAGCAATGATGTCATTCTAGGCACTAAGGTGTGTCTAATCCACTCCATGGGATTCACCGTTTCTTGTTATGCATCAGAAAGCTGAATAATGACTAAGAATGAGAGACAAGAATCAATGCCCTTGAGTTGTGGTGCTGGAGAAGAGTCTTGAACAAACCCTGGATTCCCATGAAAACAAATAGATCTGTCTTGGAGAGGGAGAAACCAAGTTTCTGCTTGGAAGCTAGGATTTTAAAACACCACACATACTCTGGGCATGTGCCCAGGAGGGACATATCCTTAGAGAAGGACATGATGATCAAAAGGGTGGAGTGAAAGCAAAGGAGAGAAAGACCCTGGAGGAGATGGATTTCTCCAGTAACATGGGCAATGGAGGTAGGTGTATTAGGGTCAGTAAGACTTGCATTGGACAGGGCCAGCTTCAGACCTCTTGTGTAGAGGGATGAGCAAGGAGTATCAGGTGAATTTATGGGACCTAACAACAGCAATAGTACAATCGACAGCTGTGTAAGCCATTTGTTCTTCATCCTTATATGACATTTGTTAATCTATCCACAAGAATAACATTTGTTCTTCATACAAATATGTCTTGGGTTAATCTATCCACAAGAGCACATGGCAATGGAAGGAATTTAGTAGCAGAGAGGGGAATGTCACCACCAAGTTCTCAGGGCCTGGAGTTGTATCTTGCTATAAACGGAAAAGCTGCCTACACTTAAGGATTGTAGTGTGCTGTCACTAAGAAGCTCCTTGGATCTCGGATCTTGCTGTTTAATGAGTATTAGCTTGGACTGAGAGATGGTATCATGCTGTAAACCTGAATTCCAGTTCTATAATATGCTCCAAAACCATAAAGTCTGTGTGAGCAGCCTAAAGGATTTTGAAATAAAAATATAGCAGCAGGTGCATAGCGTTAAAAGACTGACCCTATGAAAGCTGATTTTGTGTTATGGATGCTCTTAATGGGGGGATAACACCCAGGAGGAGTTAGCAGAGGTGGAACTCTTCCATATTCACCCTTTTCCTAATCTAAGTACAGTGCCAGTCAGTTAGTTATGACTCAGTAACCCAAGAAGAGACCAATACCTTGCTTTATCTTACCCGTAAAAAAATAAAAATCCAATTGCAGCTAGCCATGTCTGATCTCTCAAATCCACAAAGGAATCACCCTCCTTGTTAATAGCACCCTAGATACTACATCAGTTTTCATGAGGTCAAATGGGTTTACGATGTTTACCACTTCCATCAACTCATCCCAATTGTAATGCTCTCCTGGACAGGACACAGAACCATAATAGGGTAGTCTAAAGGCTTTAGTTCAGGTTAGTAGCAGGACACACTCACTCACTCAAGACAACTTCCATAAAGTACTCAAAACACTTCAACCTTCACACATCACCAGGCCTCAGACAAATTCATGCAAGAGGCTCTTTCATACGATGAAGCAGTCCAAGATCTGCTGCTACTCATGCCAGCTCTCAGGTTCACTGCTGCTGCCTCATATGGCTGCTACTACCATAGGTTTTCTCTGGCTGGCCCCACAATCTTGGGCATTGACCTGCTGTATGCTCTTACTGCTCTTTACTGGTGGGGAGATTTTTTACAATCTGCTGCTGCATGGACTCTATGGAGTGCTGAGACCAGCCAATCTCATTAAATTGGGGAGACGAGAGTTTGTTACCTTGTGAAACTGCTAAACCACTGATTCTCAAATCCTGGCTCATCCACATGAAAAGTCAAATAGCTAGAAAGCCATTTTCAATGGCTAGAAAACCATTGTAAACAGTAAACACTTGATCCCACACCACAACATCCAGCGCGATCATAGACAGGAGTCTCACATAAAAATGATGAAGGGGAAGCCTGAAGAACTTTTATATTTTTAATGTAATAGGCAAGTTTATTGATATCTATAGGAATATATAAAACCTGAGAACTATTTTTTAAAGAAAAGGTGTATAGATACACTTATTCATGGATGAAATTGGATAGCTGGCACAATGTTGTTGTTTTTGTGTTTGTCAATCTTTCAAATGAAACCTTCCCTCAAAGGGATCTAAATTATTCAGAGCAAGAGACATCCAGGGTGGTATCCTTCCTTCACCTATAAGCTTGTGAACAGATGCTAGTACCGAATTTCTATCAGAGTGGGGTTAGAGAAAACTCAAAACTCTGTTTCAGAAATTCCTGTTGTCCATAAAGGAAGCAGCCTATCCAATTTCAGTTGGACTTCACATTCTATCAGAAGAAAACAAAACCCCCCAAACATGTTCCAGTGTGTCACACTTCGACCTTATTTACTTATCTCAATATATCAATGGTGCCTCCAGAAACATGGTGAAGCTTGAAAAGAATGAGGATCCAGGGAAACACAGTAAGGTCACCACAGAATTCTCATGCCTAGAGGCTAATTCACATAGCTTTCCATTAGTCTCTTGACAACAGACATGGAATATCCATTGACCATGATAATTGTAATATTACTGATTTTGCCTCAGACCAATATAAACTTGGTTTTCAAACCTTCCAGCAAGCGTACAATTTGAGAATGCCAGACAGCTTGAAAATTGGGACAACAAAGATACCTTCACCACATGAAAACTCAGGCTTCTCATCTTTTACATCCTGAGTCAAAATAAGGTTGTGCCTTTTCCTGATGAATTATTGTTTTTAACACATTTTCAGGAAGACTAGGGATTTCTGAAGATTGTTGATGAGCTTGGTCGAGCTGCAATGACTGTTGAGTCGATGGCACGAGCAGATCCTGCAGGGCTACACATTTTCTTGAAAATCTAATAAAGGCAATAATTCATCAATCAGATTAGGGATTTCTGGAGATTGTTGATGAGCTTGGTCGAGCTGCAATGACTGTTGAGCCGATGGCACCTGCAGATCCTGCAGCTCTGTCTGGGGATGCACAGGCTCCACATGGTTCTGAGCCAGCATGTGCTCAGGCTCTGCGTTCTCCCATTGCCTGAAGTGAGGTTCCTCCTGTTGAGCATGATTCTGCATTTGCTGCTTTTTGGTTTCAAGCAGAGGTTGAGGGAGGTCTTGGTGGTAAAATGCTGCTGCAAGAGTCTTTTTATTATCATCCTGAACACCTCCTGGAGCATGAGGCCAAAAAGAGGTCTAAGTGTCTAAGAGTCCCCTTGCTAGAGTAGGATCCATTAACAAGTGATTCAAATGTGTGAAGTGGAGATTAGAGATCTCATCTCTCTGCACATTTGATGTGGGGAGGACCATGAAGGGACCTGGTGGCTGGATGGCATGGCTCTGAATAAGCTCACAAGGAGCTGAGGTTGTGTGACAGGAAACAGGATGCCATCACTCCTGATGAATGAATGAAATGGTGGAATATAATGAGACACGCCTGGGACCAGGCAAAGCTTGCGTTGTCGTGGTTGAACATCCAGAGGAGCCAGCTCTTCTGGGCTTCTTGTCAGGGAATGTGCTGGTGTCTCTGTGTTCTGCTCTGGGTGTCGAGCTCTTCTGTTCTGGAACCAGATCTAAATGGAAGAAAAGGAGACATGATCATCATGGTTGCCCATAGTTTCTTTAGACCCACGCAGTCCAATGTTTGTGGATAATTAATAAAATACAAGCAAACTTGTTGGTGGTATATGTGTTGGCAGCCCAATCTCCTACAGAGGCCCCTTGTGAACCCAGAGCGAATATTGACCAGTCCAATCTCCTACAGAGGCCCCTTCTGAACCCAGAGTGAATATTGACCCCTCCCTCTTCCAGAAAATGTTTGTTGCTCTTTGTTTTTTTAATAATCCTCACCAACTTGATTATCTGGGAGTCTGGGCTCTATGAGGAGAAATGTGGGGTCAAGATTGGGGGACAATTTATCAACAATCTGCATTATGCAGATAAACAACCCTGCTTGCTGAAACTGAAGAGGACCTGAAGCACCTGCTGCAGAGGGTCAAGGACTGCAGCCTACAATATGGATTGAGGCTCAATGTCA